TGGGGCCATTAGGAGCTGAAGCTCTTCTCTGTCACTTTAGGTAGGTGGTAATAAGTAAACAACTGAACGTGAAATGCGAATGTGTGAGTAATGTCTGAAATCCACTTCTGTGATGGTGGAGCAGCGCTCTGCTCAGCGCCCACCCAAAGTCGCCCACGTTTGAGGTGTAGATGAGAAGTGGCCGCGGGCTGGCAGCCTGGCTGGTTGCTGTCACCACCTTTTTGGGGCTTCCCCGATGGGAAGGTGCACGTCTTTGAGCTCTGGGATAACATTAGTGATGGGTGTCTCTGGGCACGTACTCGTGCATGCTCTGCAAGGTCTGTTGCCAGAATATGGGAAGAGAGGGAATGGCCAAGCGCGTGTCGGTGGGGAGATGTGTTTGAGAGCTTCATGGCACGCTGGTAACCCGTCAGTCAACAGCTCACTGGGGTTTCCATCTGGGAAAATGTAAGGGGATGTCAGATTTTCCTGGGCACGCATTTAAATGGTGCTGAAGGGTTTCTCTCATTGATAACGCCTCTGTAAGACCTCCTGAGCAAGCTGGGAGTGTACATGCTCAAAGGCACTCAATAGTGAGAGAAGCCGCAGACTGGGGAAGCACATCTTAAACTGGTACTTCTTTGACCCCTGTTAGAGGCAGGGAAATTAGTATTTTTCATTTACCAGGAGAGGTTTTGCTGCAGGGACCGCTTTTAACAGGCAGTCTTTGTTTTCTTGCTGCTCATCGGTTTCTGGGGCTATATGAAATAATGTCTCAGAATATACAACAAAGTGCTTTGAAGAGAATTTATGAAATATAGATTATGGTGGTTTTGCATGGCATGACAAGGAAATACATTTTGTTGTGCTCATGTTTATGCCTATATAAGGCTGGAGTGTCCCTAAGAATACATATTATTTTTGGCACTTAATTTTAAAGAGCTGCTACAACACACAGATGCCTGTTGCTGTTCCAAGAGATGAGCAGGGGGGTGAGAGGGATGTATTCATGCACTGCATTGAGCTTGGGGACAGATGGACTGGGGATCTTGTGTGACCCTTCCTGAGCTCCCACCTCACATTCTTTAGTGCTTCATGACTCTTTTGGGAATTCAGGCCCAAAATGATTGTATTTGCCCTGGACCAGCTGGGAATTGCCCCCTGTGGCTCAAAATGGGAGGTAAAACTGTTAACTACCAGTTCACAACCTGCTTTCTGGCCTCTGTCCGTCCCAGATTTGGCTTCCTGGCGTGTGCAGGCAAATAGGAGGTCCATTTCTCCCTATGGCTGGAATTGCTTTTTGCCCTGATAATTGTGTTTTGCCTTAAAAAACCCCTACAGCATGCCTCATCTCTCTGCTTTAAAGGACTCTGTGAAGAGTGGAGGTACTGTCCCAGCTTTATCCCCCTGCGAGTGAGAATTGATTTAATCTGCTTTTCCTGAATACTTGCATAGTTTTGTAATTTGAATCTGGTGCAATTATTATCAAAAGTGTATGTACAAAACTTCTGCTGTAAGGCTGAGGCAGAGAGAGATTAATGACTTACTATAGTAATGGAATATGAGCGATCCATGCTTATACCCACATTGGCTCTGGGACTTCAGCTCGTTCTCCAGGTTGGGGCTCTTTGAGGGTTCTGCTTCAGCTGTGCTGCAGGTCAGGGACCAATGGCAGAAAATCTGCACTTCTGCACCCTCTCCCTGCCCCCCC